CTTACCTGGGGGTCGCTTACCTTGTGGTCTCCTGCGAGGCTGTAGGCGAATACGCATCTTCGAGATGACGAGGCGATGGTCGGTCCACCCGTCAGCACCCGCGATCGCCTTCGTCACCAGCATGTCCCGCTGATCTCGCCTCTGAACGAGGACATAGTCCAGCAGGTGCCACTGGCGCGACCGAGGATGCCTCCAGGTGGCCTTCTCTCGCTCCGGCAGACAGAAGAACGTGTTCGTCAGGATGAGGCGGTGTTCTGCGCAGGTGCGGAGAAGCAGACCGTTGTCGTTGGAGCCGCGGAGACCGTGAGGACCCAGCAATCCCCTCCAGGAAGTATGGTCTGTGCCGACGCGGGCGTTGAAGTCGCCAAAGGCAATCAACTTGTCCGCCTTCGACACAGTCGCCAAGAGGGCGTGCAGGTCCTCGTAGAATTTGTCTCTTGCGGCGGCGTCGGGGCTGCTCATCGGCGGAGCGTAGGCGCTGATGATGGTGGCGAACTTGCCTCCTCGCCGGAGAGGCAGGCGGAGACTCATCAGGCGGTCGTTGATTCCCTGCGGCAAAAAGGGCTGTCGTCCCACTATGTCGGTCCGGATGGCGAAGGCGACACCCGCGTCTCGTCGCTCTGCCCTGGGTCGACCACTCCAGAAGAAGGTGTAACCGGCACCCACCTCCTCCAGTTGGCCTTGTTCGGAGAAACGGGTCTCGCTGAGTGCGGCGATGTCCACCTTGTAGCGCGCCAGTTCTCGTGCCACTAACGCCGTCCTCCTATCCGGTCGGTTGCTCCTCGGATTGTCTAAAAGGGAACGAACATTCCAGGCTGCCAGAGTGAGCGGGCTCACCCTGCCAGTCTGGTGACGACGAGTGGGGCGACGGGAATGAGATGGAGAAGAAGGTGACGAAGGAGAAGAATAGGCAGAAGAATAGACGGAGGTAGAGGAGGAAGAGGTAGGATGAGAAGAATGAGTATGGTTGTTGTTGTTGTAATTGGTATTGTTGTTGTTTCGATTTTGATTGTTTCGACCGTGTTGATGGCATCTGCGGCCTTGGCTGGTCTGCAGACGGCGTGGTGCCCAGCATTTTTTAGACCACCTTTTCTAGGCCCTTCCCCTCGTGGGGGCAGGCAGTGCCGTCCCTGAATCGGGCTGCCCATGTGCCTGGTTGGCGCGACCGAATCCCACTATGGGGCCACGACTTTTATGTTCGTAGTGGAGAACGACCGCATGTGCCGTGAGTCCGCGGTCTCCGTCGGCGATGGTGGGCGTGTCTCAGCGAAGGCGATGCAGAGACCCGTCCCAGCAGCAGTTATCCAACGGCGTACCAGGCAGAGCCTCGTCTCGACGATGCCGGCGCAGTGTTTCATCCGACCATCCATCCAGCGGAGTCCGCGATACGCTGTGCACTCGGCACAAGTGCACAGCGCCCTCACCTGGTTTAGCCCGCCGGTCGAGACGGTTGCCCTGGGTGTGGCCGCTGAGCAGAGCCCAGCTACGTGGAGCCACAGGTGAGAGTTGGGTGCCAGCAAATGGACGCTAGGTGTAGTCTCACCTGCAAGCAAGTGAGCGACCACTACGACCATCACGTGAACTCACCGCTGGACACCCCTACACCCCGGCAGGAATTCACATATGTATTGAACTGTCTCCGTGAGCGGAACGTTTGTGAAGAGTGATGAGACATCAAGTGAAAACATCATCGTACCGCTTAAATTTGGTTCTTTAACGTCCTCGATAAATTCGAAGATGTCCCATTAGCTATGTGCTGCCAGTTGATGCTGTAGAGGCTTGAGTTCCCCTGCTAACCACTTCGCTATCGTAGGACGGGGAGAGTTACACATGCCAAGATCGGACGGACTGGTAGGCCGGCCATGTGGATCTTCGGTAGACCATACAATCGAGGGATGTGTGTGCCTACTGCGCAAACGTTTTCGAGTTCGCGATCGCTTATTAAGTCTTTTTCATGGAATCTGCACAAGCAGTCCGTCAGTTTTGCTTCTACATCGTCTGTGGAATCATTCTCTTTGTCGGCTTTCCTGAATTTCTTCCGATATGACAATATGGACTATACTTTCGCCAAATAATCCGACCTCTTGATCATAACCGCGCCTGTTCCATTATCCGGTATAGTTACCAAAATATCTCTGTTCTCTCTCGACTGCTTTAAATGCTGTATGTGAATTTTTGTCAGCAGTCCCCGAAATTTTGTGTTGGACATTGTCTGTAGAAGTGGGTTTTGGATCGTACGTCTGGCTCCGGAGATTCTCGAACTGTGTTTCTAAGTTTATCTGATCGACTTTTCGACGAGGTATACAGAAATTAGGACCTGTTAGTTAGAAATCCAACGCCTCTAACGACTGGGCAACGGGTCCGTTGTCCTGTCGGTTTCGACCAACAGGTCGCGAGTTCGAGCCCCAGGTGTTTTACACTTCGGGGTTAGGTATGACTGGCTGACGACGGCTAATAAGCCCGAAATAGCCATTCCAGTCTCTCTTGTCTTTGTCGGTAATCAGATTCTACCTAGAACCCATAATGCAGAAACCAAAAGCCATGTCTGAACCAGTTGATAATACCCTGCCAGCACCAGCCCCCCTGGCCCCCTCATGGCCCCGCCTCATGAGGGGGCTATGGCGGGGCCAGAGGGGGCTATGAGGGGGCTGGAGAGGGGGCTATGGCGGGGCAAATCCCCGATGTGGCCCCTTCTGGCCCCCTCATGGACAAAAAAAATGCGCAGGGGGACGCCTTATAGTTATCGTTTTTTGCCCCCACCCATGGCCATATTCGACTGTCTGACCGTAATGCCGATCCATTAACGTCTAATTACTCGCGTTATAATCCTGATCACCCTTTTCCTAGACAGATTTTCCCCGGTATCTGTCCTATTTTATTCCTTTGTTACCTTCTAGCGAACCCCATTTCGCCAAATATGTCATGTTTCATTCCGGCTCGCCTTCCCAAAGCCAATATCTCCCGCGACCGTTAGCGGACCTGCACGCGTGATTGCAAACCCCCCAACGAACCATATCCATCAGCACACTTGAACGGCAGCAAAAGGACAGTTCGTAACATACCACAGTAACGTATGTACGTACACCAACGTAGACGGTATTAGAACTCACAACGAGAGGAACGCAGCTCACGTGAGAGATAAGTCCCGCAAAGTGACACACTTAAACAATTAAGAGCTTCATATCAGGATTGCCAAGATATGTAAAAAGCACAACTTCCGAGGTCCTAAAGTACTTTTTACTATTCAAAAAACAATTTTAAACCGAAAAATGCACGCCTATTCACGGACTAATGCCTGTTAGTAGTGCAGTACCGACGAGAAAACTACGAGGGGGCTGGCCCCCTCATAGCCCCTTCTTGGCCCCATTTCAAGAGGGGGCCAAGTGCTGGCAGGGTACATATTCCATCATCAAGAAACATCACTTGAGTATTCCTCATCCTAACCTTAACTGCGCATTTCGGGGAGTCAGCGTGAAGAGCGTTACCATTACCTCGTCTTTTGCGACTCTAATGCCTTTTAATGTGTACAGGAACTGTTTTAAATCTTTAATGGAGGTCTCAGAGTACCTCTTTGGCGGACGATGTTAGTAAAACAGTCCATTTAAAATCTTGTAATTCAGCGCATCGCTTATGAAAACTATTAATCGCTGTGTCCATATATATTGGGAAGAGTTGGTTCATCCTGCTTCAGAAATTATGCAACAATTCCTGCGATTAACCGACTGCATCTAAAGCGCTTTATCGTCTTCTTCATGCATGATGTTTGGAATGTTTTGGGGTAGACAGTCAATGGTTCGTACGTTAGACCATCTTTAAACGGTGATAACGCCTCTGTGTAATCTGTTTTCTTCAGAATGGTAGTGGAACTTCCTTTGTCAGCGGGCAGAATGTTGATGGTTTTGTCCTTTGTAGTGAATTTATCGTTTCTTCTCACCGCACCATACTGTTAGAACTTGTTTCTGTTCATCAAGACTCGCACACTGCTATCACGTATTGTGAACTGTTCCTCCTCCGAAGGGAGATATGCTTGTTTGGTGACTGTTACTTCTTTCAGAAATGGTAATCTATTTTTGTCTAAACTGTTCCACATTTTAGTTGTTCAAGATCTGAAACGCATCACGGTCTCGTGTAGATCCTTAAATACGCGAATAAGAAATTGGTCATTCCAAGATTGTATATGGTGTTCTTTATTCTCTTTTAATTTACAAGGTCGGTAATGCGCATCAATCATGAATGCCCCAAACTTCTGCTAGCTATTACAAATCGCGGTTTGATAGCCTTGGGTTGACTTTATTACTGGCTTCACTTGCACAGACTTCAGTAAATAAGGATTCCTTGGTCTGTAACGCATCACGGACCTGACTGAGTTTAAGTGGATTGAAGTCACTTTTCGCGGGGTTCCAGGCTGAGAATGGTGTAACTGCATGCCAACGAAGATGGTCAGTACCCTTTTCCTTCCTACCGCTGACATCTTTCCCACCATTTTTCATCGCCCGCATTCTCTCTACCGTCAGCAAACTTCTAAGACCTTTTCCTGCAGTTTCCCCAGCGCTACACTTCCCAATCGGCAGTCTATCGGTCTTATCGGGACCAGTTTCCACTCCAGGCGGATCAGTAGTATACGTAGTGCCATTATACCTGGTATTGCTGCATACCTTCTTGAGGATTTGATCGATGTGTCACTCGTGACATAAATTTTACATGCCTTAAACTCTTTTCTTACTATATTCACACATTTAGGTTTGACGTGATGCTTAATAACTCCGTTCAGCACTTCCATGGCCAGAAAAATCTCCCGAGGGCTTCATAAAACCCAGTGTATGTGTGTGTCGACCTCAGCGTCATCGACCGCGACACGGCATTGGTGCCTATGGCTGGCCGAAGTCTGCGCCAATATGCGTATACTGCATCGCATCACTCCGTCAGGATTGGCTGCATTCGTTCCGATTGCCCTTGAGAGTTTTACATGTAGCATCTGAATCAGCAAGTCCGTTGATGCATGCCTAGTCTGAGTAAATGGCCTCTAGGGATTTGTGGTCCTTCTTTCTTTATCAGGTATCAAGAGGGCGAGTTTCCTCTCATGCGAATATATTCATAGCCACCTGGGGTAGATGGTCTCGTCTCCTCACCAATGACTAATGCTCATACATAGGGGTCGATGCAGATTTCTCAGTTTGGGCACAATAGGATGCACCATTACTAACGCATGGGATTTTGCAGACAACGTTTCTGCGGAAGTACCCAAAGCCATCTGTAAGGTCTACACCCCCTTTGCGTAAAGAAGTTGTAGGTTTGTACGCTATTCCGCGTGGTTCGCAGTGAATACCGACGAGTTCAAAGGTCGAACTTGTAGTCGGTCGGTAACAGTCGGGGGGTCGCCCTGGAGACTTCTTTGACGTATGGAGTGGTAGCCTGGACTTCGGCTTGCTGCTGTCTTGACCGTAGTTTGTTCGCTCAGTGTTTGATTTGTTCGATACAATGACTTGCCTATCCATTAGCTCAGAAGGGATTGCGGAACTACAGTCCTCTGGTTCCTTTCTCTGGCAGTACGCTGCAGTGGGTTTCAATTCCTTGGAGCAGAGTTCGTATACAGATACATCTGTAAGATAGAGGGTGGCTTCTGTTGAATTATAGTATTTGCCTTGTGCTGAATATGGTTTGCAATTTCTCAATTCCGAACCTGCGCACAATGACATCGAGGAGGGAAAGCCGGTTGCTTGTTTCGTCCTCCATCAGGAATTGGATTTTCGAGTCAAGTGTGTTTGGTAATTCTTTTGGATACCCAAAATGCGTTGTTTAGACAAAGAGGAAGATCCCCAAATAACGCACGGGATGTCTTGTGGATCCGTTAATGACTTATTTTTCCAAGTTCTTCCTTTCTGGCATCATATCCTAGCACGCGACCGTCCCTCCACTACCAGTTAATGTACGTTTCGCGATAGTGCTTCAGTCCAAAACAACGAATGTTTATCCAGAAAACAAAACGCCAGTTTTGATGCAGAAGATTCCTGACTAGGTAAACGGCAGGCCTAGCATGCACACTCAGAAGTTTCAGCTTCTGCACATACACGTCAGTACTTGAACAGCGACCTGCGCACGATTGACACCCTTCAGTCATTCAAACTCAGTGCATGGAGAGATGGTGTCTCTGACTGAAGTATATGCACAAATTCTGACGCCACGAGTTTCAGTCCTCTTTAACTGTGGTTTCCTTTGAAACCCAGTTCATTTATTTGAGTCCCAATATGGAGAGAAGAAGCGAGGGCCCGCTGGAACAGATTTCTATGGGTACTGACGGTTTGGTGAGTTTGGTGGGTTCTCTGGCGTCAAAGTGCTTAACGAAAAAATCGAGCAGAAATCTAGATGACCTGCCGCGCTAGTTGATCTTGGGATTATTGATTGTCTCCTTCCTATTTTTCTGCCTCGGCAAAGCATGTTCGTTTCTTAAAGGTCAAACTGCAGTCAATTTTCTCGTATGCGTTGCAGGTTAGTAGTGGGAGTCTAGCATCCATGTTACGAATCTCTGTTCATCTATACACGCGTTTTTTGCCATTAAGTCGCTGACCATGTTTGTTGCCGTCGGATTTTTCGTGTTCTTACACCTCCACTCATCGTAACTTTGACATTTCTGCGCAAAATTTCCTTCTGAATTGTTGGGGAGAGTCGTGTGGCTTATTCCGTCGATATTTTCAGACCCGTTTATGCAGCGCAGTGAACAATGTCACTCTGGCAGCCTGAAATATTTGTTTCTTTTTAGACAATTCAATGCTAAGCTATCCGAAAAGTAGGTCAGCTCTGGTCGCCCGTGGGCTGGCCCACTTCAAAGTGAATGTCATAGCCCTTTGTGAGACGTGCTTCTCTGAGCACGGAGAGCTGAAGGAGTTTGATGCCAGATACACCTCCGGCTTGAGTGGATGTCCAAGTGCAGAGGGTGGAAAAGCCAGAATCGCCTTCGTCACCGCGAACGACGTTGTGAGACGACTACCCCGCCAGCCGCAGGGCTTCATTTATCGTCTCGTGACCATGAGGCTGTTACTCCGCGGGAACATGTTCGCCAGCGCGTCAGCACTTACGTCTCTCCCCCTAGTGACCAGCTCCAGTGGCATGAAGAATAAGATCTACGAAGACCTGCTCGCCCTCCTTGAGATGGCGTCTTTGGTGACCCCAATTCCTTCGTCGGCAAAACCCACGTTGCCTGGGTGTGAGTGCTAGTCGCTGCGGGATTTTTGGATGCAAGAGAAATGGTCCTTTTTTCCTGCAGATCTGCGCGAAACACGACTTCCACCTGACCGAAGTCTTGTTCGGTCTTTCTGTGCGGGAGAGGGTGCCAAAGATGCATCCTCGCTTGCCTCATTGGCATCTGTTGAACTATGTCTTACTTCGGTGGCATCATCAGCGCGGCGTGCTCGGGCCTAAGACGATGTGCGATGCCGGACGCTGGACGGATCACTGCCTTGTCATTTCCAAGATGAGGTTCAAACTGCGACAGCGCAGGCGACCATAAGGTAAGCTACAGGAGCTTGAAACCGTGAGTAATGCAATCCCGGAGGCGCAAACCAATGTCGAAACCCAGTGGAGGGATCTGCGGGATACTATTCAGGCCTCCCAAAGCGGAGGCACTTGGCCGCAAACGCCGTCAGCACCAGGAATGGTTAGATGATACTGACAGAGAGATCTGCTCTCTCCATCCCCCCCCCCCTGAGAAACAGTCTGCACACGAGCTACACTACCAACCGCAACAACGCGAATAAAGCCGCATACATCTGACGTCGGCGGCTAGCAGACCATAGGCTAAGAGAGATGCAGAACTGGACTGCTCGCAAAGCTGAGGAGACCCAGGGAGATGCCGACCGTTTGTAGATGAATAACATTTTTGTGGCCATCAAGGCAGTCTAAGGTCCACAAGCCAAGGAAACTGTGCCACTGATGAGCCAAGATGAAGTAACCCTTCTGACGGAAATATCACAAATCCTGGGGCGTTGGGCTGAGCACTTCCAGAGCGTCCGCAACCTCGCGTCCGCAATATACAAAAAAGCTATTAACCGACTGCTTAAAGTGAACATCAAAGACACCCCGAGCGTCCGCCTTCCCACTTTGAGACAATCAGAGCGGAGGAACCGCTATCGAAGGAAAAAGCGCCGACAGTCTATACAATTCCAGCGGAAGTTTACACATGCGGCAGTCCACAATTCATAGAACAGATTACCTCGTTGTTCCAGGGGATACATCGACAAGGACAAATTCCCCAAGACTCCAAGGGCAAAGGCACCCGGCAATTCTAAAAAAATCACATGAACATTTCATTCTTAAAGTCGCAGGCATAATATTCGTCTACGTCTACCGAAGTTGCCTGAATGCGCGTCAGGAGCGGGAAATTTTTCCAAAAATTCAGTGTGGTTTCCGAAAATACCGCAGAACCGCAGACATGGTCTTTGTGGTCTGCAAACAGCAGGAACTGCCCAGAAATGAGTATCAGCCTCCACACAACCTTCGCGTCCTGACGAAGTCCTTCGACATAATGAATCAGGATGGACTCGTAAGAATCAGGCTGAGACTCAGACGTCCTGATCGGCATACTCGAATGGCAAAATAGCTAAATGATGGGATGACGACTTATGTCATGGATAGTGGGAAATCTCTGGGACATTCGATGTGTTCAATAGGTCTGCATATTCGCTCCCACCCTATTCAGTCTCATTTCCTCTATCTTGTTGATGGACGCCTACCGTGGGGAGCTGTCGGGGATCGACAATGATTACCGAACCGACGGAAAGCTGTTCAACACCCGTCACCTGGAAGCATATTCGAGAATAGTCCAGGCCAGCGTTCACGACCTACTGTTCGCGGATGACTGCGCTCCAGACACCACAATGGAGAAGGACATGCAGCGGAATGTGGACCTCTTCGTTCCCGGCTGCCCCAACCTCTGTCCCCCCAATCAACACGGAGAAGTCAGTGGTCCTGCAGCAACTGGTGTCATATGCTGACTTCACCGAATCCCGTATAAATTTCAGTGGAACTCACCTCACAGCAGCTGAAAAATTTGCGTACCTTGGGAGCACGGTTTTAAGAAACATCAAGATCGTCGACGAAATCGCAAGTCTGGTCTCAAAATCCAGCCAGGTCTTCGGTCGGCAAAAGCACTCCGTCTGGAACTATCGCGAAATCTTACTTAACACAAAAATGGACTGTTATCCTGCTAACACTCTTGTACGGGACTGAGGTATGGACTCTTTATGAAGGACAAGCAATAAGACTAAACCACTTTCACCTTAACTGCCCCGAGGAATACGGAAGATGAAGTGGCAGGAAGGGACCTCAGCCTCGGAGATCCTAGATAGAACCGGAGTCTTCATTATCCACACCATTCTGAGACAGATATGACAGTGATTGAGCGGTCACGATGCGAAGATGGATGATAAATGCCTGCCTAAGCGACTATTCCAAGCCTACGTAGTCATGGTTCTTCGCAGAGAAGGTAGGCAAATGTGTCGCCGCAAGGGCACCTTGAAGACATTCAAGAACCTTCAAATCACTTGGAAGCCAGGACCTTGTTCAATATCGACAGACATTGCGTATTGCCGCAAAGGCTGAAGCAACCATCTTCGAGGCCAACTGGATAGCCGCTGCCAAGACCCACCAAACTTAAGTGCCATGAACCCATGACGACACCACCCAACCCTTGTCATTGTACTCGCACTGTCAACGGAAATTCCGCTCACCGATCGTCCTTGCTGGACATCTGCGAACCTAGTGCAATGTCGGAAAGACAAGCCGTCTCTCATTTAACAATACAGCACAACTACTGTTGCCACTAGCAGCGCTTATGAGGACACGCCTACCGTCCTGTCATATATATATGTGTATATGGTAGGGGGCGCTCACCGTTCCGAATCCGCGGACTTTCCTCGTTGGGCAGGCGCCAACAATGAGAGTGTTTTACCATGCAAATCTGTGTCTAGTGTCCAGCCGTGCATGGCCGATTGGGATAG